GTTATGTGGCACCAACGAATCCGCGGTTGAGTCTGGGAAGGAAAGAGATTTAAAGGTGGAAGATGTTGAAGATTTCTGCTCTGTGTGGTTTTCATAGTTTCGTAGTACGTTAAGGGGTTGGAATGGATCTTGGAGGTCATCCAGTCCCAACCCCCTGCCGTGGACAGGGAGACCTCCCACCAGAGCAGGTTGCTCAAGGCTTTGTCCAGCCTGGCTTTGAACACTGCCAGGGTTGGGGCAACCTGTGTCAGTGTCTCACTACCCTCACAGGCAAAATCTTGTTCCAAACAGCTAATCTAAATTTCCCCTCTTTCAATTTCTACCCATTACTCCTTGTTCTATCACTACAGTTCCTAACACAGAGTCCCTCTCCAGCTTCCCTGTAGGCTCTTCAGATACTGGAAGGTTGCTATTAGGTCCCCCCTTCTCTTCGCTGAACAGAGATTGAATGAAGGATGCTGACACAGGCAAATTTCAGCCTAAGGAAGTCATACTAGTGTACTCTCTTTTAATCTAAGCATCTCAGCTGGGGTTTTCTCACTAGCTGAAGTTACACCATTGATTTTACCTGCTAGGAAATTGTCTGTTGGTTTTAAAGGTATAAGGTGATGAGCTTCCTTAGCCTAAGGGCAGCTTTTCTGTACATATTCCTCCCATCCATCTTCCAGAGTGAATTTTGGTGACCTGTCTGCAGCACTCACATTCATTAGTGACCATGTTACTTCCTTTGTTTAGTTTGGTGGAAAAGAGCTTCGAGATGAAGAACAGACTGCAGAAAGCATTAAAAACCAAATGTCTGTGAAAGAATGGGAAAAGGTTTTTGAGATGAGCCAAGATAAGAACCTTTACCATAATCTCTGCACCAGCCTCTTCCCCACTATCCATGGTAAGAATCCAGTTGTTGCCACAGAGAGGGAAGATTTCATTGTGTCAATATTAGTTCCTTTTGCTGTCTGCATAGTGCCATTTTGGGAAAGGCTGAAATACCTGTGCCAAATACCACAAACTCTCCCCTCCAGCACTGGTGCTTCTAGAAAAAGAGAATCTGTTTCCTGAGTACTTGCTGTATTTAGTCATTAAGGCCTGCAAGGTTAGTAGAAGGGTTGGGTTTGCTATCAGTGTTGTTCTACTAAACTCTACAGCTCACAGCTGTATCTATTTTTACATACTTCAAGTTGCATATTTTTTACATATATTTTAGATATTTTTACATACATACATACATTTTATATGGACTTCCTTCAGAATATTGAAGGGTCACAAATATATGCTCTGTGCATGCAGGTGTGTTTGTGTTTGTAGTTGTTTCTGGCTCAGAGAAGACTTACAAGGACATATGTTGGTCATGTCTGAAAAGTTTGATCAGCTGAATTTGATCCATATTCTGAGCCACTGTAACATAAAGGAATTCAGCCACTCTCTGAGTCATTCTTGTCTGAAATTGTATCCAGCACATAAATGCAGTTTTGGTGGATGTTTGGCAAATAGGTAAACTCCCAGTAGATATGCCCAAATGCTCTAAAATTCTGGTGGGGTGAAGGGTTTTTTTTAAATAGGAAAAACGTGGTGTTTTCTTGTGGTTTTCAGTTGAGTGTCTTCTCTGGGGCAGGTAATGATGAAGTGAAACGTGGAGTCCTGCTGATGCTCTTTGGAGGAGTTCCTAAGACCACATCAGAAGGCACTTCACTCCGTGGGGACATCAATGTTTGTGTTGTTGGTGATCCAAGTACAGCCAAGAGTCAGTTTCTAAAGTAAGCATCACATTAAAACTCAGTATTTAAATCTTGCCCAGTGTGACTAGAGCTATAAATGTGCACTGTACATTTTTCTGTGTTGAACAGAGGAAAGGAAGAAGTAAAATATTTAAGAATGTTTTGCAGTGATTGTTTGGATGTGGTTGAATTGTCTGAACAGAGCTGAAGCAAACTCACCAAGCCTTGTGGTGTTAACAGAGAGTGGATTAAGACTTTGTTTTTCTTCTTTAGGTAGTTATGAAAGTACAAATTTCCAAATATTTTCAAAAGACATCGAATATTAATATAAGTGCGATTTATTGCACATCTTAAAATACCAGAGATAGATGAAGCACTGAGTTTTTATTATTATTTTTAGCTCAGTCTAAATTTTAGGTCACAACACTTTGGGCAAATAGACAACAATTAGCCCTGAGAAATAGTTCTGAAATAGATTTGGTTTATGCTGCTGCTTGTAATGTTTTTTTTAATTCCTGCTTTGGAGCACTGGACCCTTGTGCTGATGTTGCCTGGCCCATAAGGAGCTGTGTTAGCTGTGAAGTCAGCAGAAACCTTGTGGGAGGAGGTCTGGATTGGTTTTTCTGCTGGTATAACCACAGGTGGATAACAGACATTGCTGGACTGCAGATAAGGACTAGTTTCCAGGGCTCCCTCAAACACCATTAGAGGTGGGAGGGCCTGCCTAAATCTGAGGCCTGAGAGGTTGAAAGCAGCACTGCACTGCAATTGTCTTGTTTCTGCAGGGTTTCATCTGGCACTTCAAGTTTGTTGCTTGCTGTTCTTTGTCCCCACAGGCACGTGGATGAGTTCAGTCCTCGCGTGGTGTACACCAGTGGCAAAGCCTCCAGTGCTGCTGGTCTGACAGCAGCTGTGGTGAAGGATGAGGAGTCTCATGAATTTGTCATTGAAGCTGGAGCACTGATGCTGGCAGATAATGTGAGTCTGGGAACTGCATCCCTAGAATGGTTTTCATTAATTGTCTTAATGATGCTTTTGTTTCCAAAAGTGCTTGAAGTTGGGTCACTCACAGCTTTTTATTCTCCCTCTGCAGGGGGTTTGTTGCATTGATGAATTTGACAAAATGGATGTGCGGGACCAAGTAGCCATTCATGAAGCCATGGAGCAGCAGACAATATCCATTACTAAAGCAGGAGTAAAGGTAGTTTGCACTAGGCCTCTGTGTAGTCTGGGCAATCACTTGACTGTTACGTGTACTGGTCTAGTGTCACCTGTCAGATCTTCAGGTGAGCTCTGCAGCTGCCTCACTCTGGCAGGACACAGATCACTCACTGCAGTTTTCATGCCACATACCCCAAAAAGATCAGAAATGACAGTGAAAGGGGAAAAGAGATAGTAGTGGACAGGAAACAGAGAATTGGAAAATCCTAACCTTGAAGTAACAGCAGTAAAGGTTGTAGATTTGTGTGTGTTTGTAGAAGTGAGGTGTGTATTTGCACTGCTAAAAACAGGCTGTGGTGAACAGCACATTTAAGGGCTTGTTGCAGTGTTAGAATACTGATTCATCTGACTGTGTCTTGGGGCAGAGACCTGGTTAGAAAGGGCTGGATAGAAGAGCCTGGATGCTTTTGAGGAGTGATTGTTACAATACCTGCACTGAAACTCCATCTAAAAGATGTGATGCTGACCCATGTGAAATGCAGTGAGTTGGTTTAGCAAGTGGTCACAGATCCTGTTTTTAATTTATGTTTTCCCCACTGCCAGGCTACCCTGAATGCCAGGACCTCCATTCTGGCTGCAGCAAACCCAGTTGGTGGGCGCTACGACAGATCCAAGTCACTGAAACAGAACATAAACCTCTCAGCTCCCATCATGTCTCGCTTTGATCTCTTCTTCATCCTTGTGGATGAGTGTAATGAGGTAATTTTAAGGAATTGTACAATTGTAATTGGTGTCAGAAATGATCTCTGGAGGTCTTTAGTCTGACCTCATGCTCAAGGAGATCATTGAGAACAGATGGCCAAGACTGTGGTGAGTTCTGAGTATCTCCAAGGGTGGAGATTCTGCAGTGTCTCTAGGCCCCTGCTGCAGTGTTTGATAACTCTCATGTGCTTAAAAAATAATAACTTACATCTAACCAGAATTTCTCATGGTTCAGTTTGTGTCAGTTGCCTCTTACTAAGAACTGTTTGGCTCCATCATATCTACACTGGCCAACGAGGCAGTTGCTTTCCTTTCAAGCTGAACATACCCAACTCTTTCAGCCTCTCATACATCATGTACTCCTGCCCTCTGACATTTTGGTGGCTCTTTGCAATTTTAGATGAAGCTGATCTCATGGGAGTGTCTTGCTTCTGCTTTTCTGCCTCTGTGTGCACAGCTAAAAGCTGGCAGGACAAATTTGAACATGCTCTGCTGAATGCAAGGACTCTGCCTTTTCATCCCACAGTGATCTGACCTGCAGACTTAACACCATTAGTCACTGTTACAAATGGCTGGTCACTAAGGCTGAGACTGCTACCACCTGTCTGTGTGCCATTTGCCTTGGGAACACATGAGATCCAGAGATTAATGTTGGTTCAGCACTATTTCTCACTGCTGTTCTGCTCAGAGTGATTGTCTAATTGAGAAGGGACTGGTGAGAGAGACAGAGTAGGCTGAAAAGGAAGAAAACAGTTCCCACGCTGCAAAGTGCTGCTTTCTGCCTGTTCTCTGGCTAACTTGTAACCCAGGAGAGTTCCAAGAGGTTATAAATCCTAAAACTGCCTTTTATCCCTACTCTGCTGTGTTTCTTTGTATTAAAAACCTCCAGGACATTCTCCTGGACCTTCTGCCAGGGAGTTTGGCTTCTGGAAAGACTAGCTCTGTCCTGAGGATTGCAAGAGAGGGAGGGGAATGGGAAGGAAGAATATAGCAGTTGTTCTGGTCTCTGGCTGCTGTTGTGATCTGACAGAGCACTCCCATCCCAGGTCACAGATTATGCCATCGCCAGGCGCATTGTGGATCTGCATTCCAGAGTGGAGGAATCTGTTGATCGTGTCTATTCCTTGGATGACATCAGAAGGTATCTGCTGTTTGCAAGGCAGTTTAAACCAAAGGTAACTACTCTCCTGTATGAGTTGTTCTGGCTGAGGAGGTCCAGAGGAACAATCACTTTGCCGTTTGCTTTTGTCTGGTGAATGTGAAGAGTCACTCTGCTGTTTGCTTTTGTCTGGTGAATGTGAAGACACTAAGTGTAGTGTTTCCCTAGGAGAGGAGCCATAAACTCAAATTATTATCTAGAATCAAGGCATACATTGGAGCCATGTACTCTTCTGAACTCCAAAAACCATTCAGCCCAGCTGAGACTGTTTTAATCAGTAGTCTTCTTAGCTGCTTAGGTGGCAGTTGTTAACCTCTGTCTAGAGCAGTTGAGGGGTCATTTCCTAGTCCTCTCATAGCTCAAGGGCAAGGGTATGGCTGCTACAGAGATTTTTGTGTTTTCTTGGCTTACTGCTTAATCAAAGTTTGTCTTTATTTCAAAAGGGTATTGTTCCTTGATATTTCTTTGTGGTAAAATACAGAACGTGGGAAACTGCTCTAAGTACAAAGTTCAGGGATCTCTCCCAACAGCAGCTTGGATGGACTGTGTGTTAGATTCTTCAGATGTTCTTTTAATGTAGTTCTCAAAAGGGAGGAGAGGGTAACCCTCCCTTACAGAGTTTTTAAAACTCACTGTTCAATTCCACGTGGTGAAGAGCTTGTTTTCTGGCTGGATCCATGTATGTGCAGATAGACTTGGGCTAAAAAGTGTGTCCACAAAGCTGTAGTGAATATATATATTGTGTGTGTGTGTGTGTGTGTTTTTGCATGCAGAATGGAGGGTAAATAAACACAGAACAGTCTAATAGGACAGACATGAATTTTGCCCAGAAACAAGTCAGTGGAACAGAAAAATAGAAATTATCAAAAATTTCCTGTAAAATAATTAAATCGTCAGTGTACCTATTTGATATCATTACCATTGGTAAGTGTAATCATTATTGTAATATAATTTAAATATAGTATGATTGACATATTTATGGAGAGTACATGTACAGCTTAGAATATTTCAGAGAAAAGCAGTAGCTAGCACAGAAAAGTCTGGGAACTGCCCACCTAATGCAAGAAGAATAAACTTTATGAGAGTTTGCCACGTTCAAAGTATTATTGTCTTCTCTCACAAAGATATCCAAGGAGTCTGAGGACTTCATAGTGGAGCAGTACAAACGGCTGCGGCAGCGCGACGGCTCTGGCGTGGCCAAGTCCTCCTGGAGGATCACAGTGAGGCAGCTGGAGAGCATGATCCGCCTGTCCGAGGCCATGGCACGCATGCACTGCTGTGATGAGGTACCTTGTTCTTCCTGAAACCTTGTCTAGATGTTTGTGTCCATGTGGGAGAGTTCTGGACTTGCTGTTTGACTGTGATACTGGACATAGTCCTGTGGGTGAGGAGGAGAGCTTGGGTCATGTTGTCATAGTCACTTGTAGTCATACTCTTGTATGCCAGAAACACTGTAAGGTGTGTCTGGTAAAACTGAGATCTGCTGATCAAACTGAGGACCTTCATGGTTTTCCATCAGAGTTGTGTCAACACTCTTGGCCTCTTACCTGTCAAATAGTGCCAGGCATGTTTAGGTTAGACATTAGGAAGAATTTCTCCACAGAAAGAGTGGTTAGACTTTGGAATGTGCTGCCCAGGGAGATGGTGGAGTCACCATTCCTGGAGGTGTGTAAGGAAAAACTGGACATGGCACTTAATGCCATGGTCTAGTTGACGTGGTGGTTTTAGGTCATAGCAAATGAATCATAGAATCAACCAGGTTGGAGGAGACTTCAAAGATCATCACGTCCAACCCTACGAGTCCAACCTATTGGTTGAACTTGATGATCTCAGAGGTCTTTTCCAACCTGATTGATTCTGTGAAATGATGGCAAACAGGAAGAACAATCATCTACTAGTATCAACCAGGGCTGCTGGGAGTGCCCTTCCTGATCTTCCATAGTTTGTAATCTCTCACAGCTCTGTTTCATCTGAAATCTAAAAAGCCAAAGTTCATCAAAGTTTCTGAGCCTCCCCAGGGGTACCTTTGTGTGTGATCTGAGCTCCTCCTCACATCAACCAGTGTTGAAACATGATATATTGTGTTCTGGCTATTAACTGTAGTATGACTACTGCCCATCTAGTTAGTAGCTGCCTTAAAACACAGCAGGCCCTTTGAAATGTTGATTAAGGGGAGTGTGACACATGCAGTGATGGAACCTTGCTCACTGGTTGTGTAAGGAGAACACCTGTTGGGTCCTCTGAAATTAAATTCAGTTTATAAAGAAACACAGATAGCTTTTAGCTTATGGCTCAGCTAGAGATGATTTTTCCAGTCTTTGCTTTTAAGTTCTGGAGGAGAGTCTCATTAATTCCATCCATTTTTTTTTTCACATTGTTTCTGCTCAGACCCATTTCTTTCATGTTTCTTGCTCCACTGATCTTTCTTCCAAATGTTCTTGGCTGAAGTAAAAATTTTATTGACTCCACATGATCGCTAAACCCTGAAAGATTAATCAGGCTGCTTCTTCCCTCCATAACCTTGTGTGAACTCGGAGTACTTGTAGTGGGATAGAATTTAACTTGCAGAGTCTTTGCTGCTCAGGATGAGATGTGTAGAAAAGCCCTTTGTCAGAGTCACATGTGACTTTCTGGAGCTTTTGGGAAACTAGAAGAGCCACTAGGCCTTTTTAGTACATGGTTTTTTTCAAATCTTCCTCAGGTTCACCCAAAACATGTGAAGGAAGCTTTCAGGCTTTTAAATAAGTCCATCATTAGAGTTGAGACTCCTGACATCAATTTAGACCAAGATGATGAACAGCAAATGGAGGATCAAGAGGACCAAGAAGGAGTCAATGGTAAATTACTTGCTGAGAATTTTTCTAAAGGGGAAAGTATTTGCAGCCTTTGCAGCTTACCTTATTTGAGCACATTCTTCTCTTCTGTTTCTCACCTATTTCTCATCTAAATAAGGTCTTGACTCCTGTTCTTAACACTCTTGCTTCTTCAGCCTCCTTGTGTGTCCACTCACCTGGTCAATGCAACACTGTTCAGTGGCTCAGAGTACTAAAGAGCTGAAAGATGTTACAGCTTTAAATGTGTGTCCCAACAGGTGAGGCAGAAGCTCCAGCTGGTGTTAATGGTCTGGTGAATGGGATCAATGGGCACTCTGAGGATGTGAACAAGGATGCTGCCCCCAAAGCTTCTCTGAGACTGGGCTTCTCCGAGTACCGACGGATTGCTAACCTGCTGGTGCTGCACCTCAGGAAAGCAGAGGAAGGTAAGAATTGCTTTATTAAAAAGTCAGCAGGCTCTGACTTCAGGCAGCAATTTTTACTGCATCTCCTGCTGTTCCTCATGGGATTTTCACTCCTGCTGAGACCAAACTTGTCAGGTCAGGTGTGAACCTGTACACGTGGCTGTGCTACATCTGGTGATACAAATATGACTTCTTGGAGTTTCTGTGTCTGTTATGTTAGTCACCTGGTAAGCTGAGGAGCGTGTCAGCAGAGCAAATCCAGGAAAGGATTTGTAGCATACACTGGTTTAACCCAGTTAGAAGAAGTGGCTGCAATGAAAACTGTAGCAAAGAACTTGAATGCATGCCCAGCAACCACAGCCTGCCTTAGCCAAATGGCTGCACTGGTTCTTGGGAAGGTGAAATATTTCAGTTGCAATGAGGCTGCTCCTGTAATGAAATGCAGCAGTTGTCTCATAGCATCTACAAAAGCTACAGTTTTTGGAAGGGTGTGGAGACGACAACATCTGTTCAAAATGATGAGTACATGTAGAAGGTTGACTTCTTTGGCTTTGTGTGGCAGTGATTTTCCTTTGCCCTTACTTAAAGGAAAAGTGTGTGAGTCCTTGCAACTGCTTTTTCTTGAAGCTGAAGTGATTTGTAAACCACTTGGGTGCATAGAACTGAAAGCTTCAATTCTCAATCTAATTACCTCCAATTAAACCGTGCCTCCTGTGCAAAACATGATGCTTTAAGGAACAGAACAAAGCCTGATGTTTCTTAAACATCTTAGAAAACATGTTTCTCTCTTCAGCATTGTAAATGTTAACATACAGATCTTTTTCTCTGGGGGTTTGAATGGTCTCTTACTGCTACTGAGTTAATGCAGATTGTTTTCTTTGCAGAAGAGGATGATTCAGCATTAAAGAGGAGTGAACTTATTAATTGGTATCTAAAGGAAATTGAATCTGAAATAGAATCTGAAGAAGATCTGATAAATAAGAAGAAGATCATAGAGAGAGTCATTCACCGACTGACACATTATGTATGTATGGAGATGTGTGGGTAGGGAAAAGGGGTTTTAACTCAGAGGGCAATGATTCATTTTTAATAGAATACATTCCTAATGGGAGGAATCTGTTTTGTGCTTCCATGTTATTGACTGAGGCAGTATAAATGCCTTCTTTGTGTAACACCTGTTAAATAATCCTGGAGAAAGCACTGCAATAAATTGGAGGTGTGTATAGGTAAAACTTCAAAGCACTGTATTATGTCCCTACAGAAGTGTGGTGTTTTTCTGCATTTTTGTAGTTATCCATTAGGATACAGAAATACAGTACTTTATTCCATGAATAGCCTTAAGCCACAGGGGTACTAGAGCATTTTGGGATAAAAAGTATGAAAATAATAAAATACTTGTCACTTCTAAAGGTGCAAAACCCCTGAATTGGAAAGCACCAGGCAGAAAAGCTCCCAGAAAGAATAGTACAGATATTTACACTGAGTGTAGTTGTTAAGATTAAGAATCTGTTAGAGGGAGTTCACAATTGAAAGGGTTTGGTAATTAATCAATAAGAGGTGCTACCAGTATAGAAAGTACTTTCAAAAAGTACCAACAAAGCTCTGCTCTTGTTCTAATACAGATTTTTGTCTGTTGCAGGACCACATTCTGATAGAACTGTCCCAGTCAGGGCTGAAAGGATCCAGTGAAGCAGAGACTTTTGATGAAGATCCATACCTGGTTGTGAACCCAAACTATCTGCTGGAAGACTGAGGGCTGAGAACTGCTTTGCAGAGTTGACTAGTCACAAGTGGGAAGATGCATTCTGTTCTTGCAGGGGTTGCTGTATAGCTAATGCCTTAAATCCCTCTGGATGTGTGTGCTCAGTAACATGTGATTGCTCCCTTGCACTGAGGGAAGCTTTTAGAGACATGACACACATACATTAGTTTCATTATTCTGAATTTCAGTGCCATCATCTGGTTGCAGAGGAGAATCATCCAATAGCTCATGAGAGGAATTTTGCATTGCTCTTCTGTTGCATTTAATAGACTTTTTATATTATAGGTTTTTACTGTTTTTCTTATTAAGATAAATAAGACTGTTAAATGTCTGGAGATGTCTGGGGGTGGATTTGTTGTCACCCATATGTGGGATTGCTGCTTTTCTAGGCCTGTGCTTTGAGGCTGAAAAAAATAAGTATCTCAGTGTTTAATATCTTGAGAAAGGTTAAGTTTCCTGGATGACAGATGCTGGTTTTTTTAAATTCCAGTAATGGATAATGAGGAACTGATTGCTTCTCTTTCTTTTTAGATGGGCTAGAGGTGTATGTTCCTGTTGAATATGTAAAATAGAAAACTGAACATAGCCAAGCCCAAAGCAAGGCTTTAAGTCAGAAACTCCCATCTTGATGGATGTCTTGACTTGTAAGTGGATTGAAAACTGCCACCAGTTGTGAGGGATTTGTAAGACTATATTTGTAAACCTGTTTGTAGATTTTTCTATAAGAAAACTTTACTTAAATTTCTGATTTTCTCAATTTTTTTTTGCTGTAAACGGAGGTTATTAAATAATCTATTAAGAATTAAAAATAGCTGAATATTTGTCTTGTTAGCTTCATACGAGCACTTAAGAAACATTTGTAATAGCATGAAAGATACCAAAGCTTTATATTGGAATTATGAAGAGTGTGAACTAACTGTTTGTGAAGAAATGGAGGTGGTTTATGAGACAGTCACCTTTTTCCTGTTAGTCTCCCCCAGAGATGTGCCTTGGTCTAACTTAAGCAGATCATTAAAGATAAGTTATATTTAAGGAGTGGAGGGAATCATAAATACTTGTGCCCACAACAGTACCACATCAGTCCAACTGCACTAACTTATCTCCACTGTTTTCTTTCCTAAACTGCATCTTGGCAAATGCTGCATTTCATTAAAATTTGCCACTTGACCTGCAACAATAGTTTTGCTTTTATTCTGTGTTTTTTCTTTACTTTCAGAGTAAGGACAGGAAAATGTTTGTACTTCACCATGTGTTTCTCCCTCCCCTCCTCTCAATCCTTGTTTGATAACAAATGTTCTCCACTTAGGAGAAAGTCTCTTTTTCTGCTTCTCTGTCCCCAGTTCTGTAGTCTGGGAGGGGAGTTCTCAGTTAATTAGTTCTCTACTGAAAAATAAGCAGCAGGTGGTGCTGTAAAGTTACTCTTGAAGCTTTTCAAGGCTTCTTGAAAAAAAACCAAAACAGATCACCTGGGACTCAAACAGGATCAAAGTACACAAATTGCTGTCCCTGTATAGGATTGGCTATTGGAGGAACAGCAAATGTTGTGAGACATTTTCTGCTGTAACTTAATATTGCTTGATGCAGCAATAAGTTGCCCAGCTGGATATTAAGGGAAATGAACTCTGAGATGGATCTGACATTTCAATATAGTTCTATAGAATTTTGTGTTTAGTTGATTTAAACATGTTCTGTATTTAGGCAGCAAATGTTCTCAGCTCTTCAATTTTGCTGTATGTGAGTGTAGAAAAGTGGAGTTACCTTTTCCCTGCAGCAGTTCAGGCAGGTGATCTGTGTGTGCCCAGCCAGCATGTGTTTCCAAGGCTGCAGGAGGGATCACTTTGGAAGACAATCAGATAGTATTCAAATTCCTGGATGTTATTGGGTATGAGGAATCACATTGTTCCAGCTGCCTGAATTCTCATTAATAACCACTTTTCCAACTGGGTGAGATGCCACATCTCAGGTTTCCTTTATGCACCCAAGAATTGGGGCACAAAGGTGACTCTTGCTGCCCTGCACACCCTGAGCTATGGTGACTCCCAGTCCCAGCAGTGCAGGTAGCTCTGCTTTTGTTGTTTTCTGCATCCAGAGCTGTGCTGGGATTCTTCTTAGGCCAAAAAAGGCCAAGAGGAGAGGGAAAGTATTGTGTACTTATTGTATTTTCCTCTGAAATGGAAGCAATATCAGCAAATGTCAATTGATATTGAAGCCTAATAGGGGAACTTGAGCATCTCAGCAAATGTTTCCACATGACCTTTCTCCAACTGATTGTTTGACAGTGTTTTTTGTGTTCATCCATTTGTTCATCTATTGATTGTCCTGATGTGTTATTCTGGCGTCAGCTGGTTCTGGGAACATTTATCTGTGTAACAGATAATTTCAGTTAAATATTACTTCTACTGTAATATAAGTAGAGTGGAATAACTTCCTGAAGCAGGCTCAGAGATGGAGCTGATCTGTAAGACAGTCATCCTCTTTCTGTTAGTCTCTCCCAGCCTTGGGATAGATTGGGAACTTGCTCAGAATTTTATTGGCATTGCTGGGCCTCTACCCAGTGAGTTGGCAAACAGGTTGGGTCTGCAGGACCAAGTGCTACCCAAGGAAGATGAGGGCCCTGCTGTGGCTGAAGCACATGATTATCTGTGCCACCAGGACCTCGTGGCTTCAGAGCTGCCCCAGTACTTCTCCCACCTCCGTGGGATCGGGGTGACACATTACAAAGTGTTCCTGCCATGGACACGTGTTCTTCCAGAGGGGAATGCCAGGAAGCCAGATGAAGCTCAAGTGCAGTGCTACCAGGAGCTGCTCCAGGCCCTGGTTGCTGCAGACCTCAGGCCTGTGGTGGTTCTGCACCACCAGCAGGTCCCTGGGGCTGTGGTCACACAGGCCATGGGGAGGAAAGGCAATGGCTTTGCTGAGCTTTTTGGGGAGTATGCAGAGTTCAGCTTCCATGTGTTTGGGGACCTGGTGGATGTGTGGCTCACCTTCAGTGACCTGCCAGAGCTCCTTCAGAGCCTGCCTTACTCTGACCCCCAGGACAGAGCCCAGGCTGTCGCTGCTGCCCACGAGAGAGCTTACACCATCTACCACGAGAAACACTCCCTGGCAGGTAAGAGTGGGGATAGGGATTGCTGGAATGTGACTCCTTCACAAATATTTCATGATGGGATGAAATGGCAACTGCTACCTGCAGTCTCCATGTCTGGTTTTGTGTACCTACCCACAGTGGAAAGACTAAAAACTGAAATGTGCCCGAACCCATGAAAAAAAGATAAAGGCACAAGGCATCTCCTATGAGATAGTAAGAGTGTGAGGAAATCTGCAGTGTCCTTTGTTTGCCTTTCCTCATTGCAGACACTGGGGGTTTAAAGTAATTAAATCTAAACTCTACCTGTGTTACACAGAGCAAGAGACTTTCACCTCCTCTGTGGTGGATACCTGGGATTTTCCAAGCATCTGTCCTTGGGGCTGCCTTCTTTATGCTTGGAATTTTTCTGTCTCAGACAGACAACTGGTAGAGCTCTCTCAGTCATCATTTGTCTCCCCAAATTTTTAATTAGTTTTTAATTCTTGCATTTGTCAGGAATACTTTGCCATACTGTTCACAGTAGCTGGTGTTAGGCCTTAGAAGTGGCTCAGCTTATCTCCTGTCCCCTAAGTTCCTGTCCCCTCAGCATCTCAGCAGCATTCAGCACAGAATGGACTTCAGAACATAACCACAGTAGAACCACCACAAAGGCATGAAAATTAAAGAGATAACTTAGAGTTATGCAGGGAGTGAAGGGCACCCACTGGACAGCTGTATCCAGATCCACCTTCCTACAAGCAACAATGCTAAGGTGTTAATGAGCATCATGAAAAGAGAAAATTTACTGACAAATGCTCCTTGAACTCTGCCTTTGAATTTCTTTCTTCAGCTCTCCACTGAAGTCACAGTGAGTGTTCTGAAATCAGTTACCTAGAGCACTGTGTGGTGCTCCACAGCTTCAAAAATGTTAAATTGATTTAAAAATAACTGCAGTAAACTGAATTTTTTATATGCTTCTATATTACTAACAGACTGCCTCTTTCTCTCAAGGTGGAAAGATGTCCATTGCTGTAGAAATGGGTGATGTCTTGGGCAGTGCCTTGTCAGAATTGTTTTCAGTTTCTCTTCAGGTAACACCTTAATAGAAATTACTTCAAAAATTGCATGACTTTGATTTGATTTAACTTGATTTTTTACATGTGGGATCAAGTGACTTATTGCAGGTTAAATAAGATTCTAGCAAGTTGACCAATTGACCAGTTTGGTAAATCTTGCTTACTTGATAAATCTGATTATGTGAAGTTTGCTGATTAAAAAAAACTTACTTCAGCATCCTTTCTGGGCTGATTAAGCCCTGATTGAGATAGATGGGAGACATAATTGGCAGTTTTAGCAATATATATACTTAAATGACAAGGTGTCTCCAAAAAAGTGTATCCACTCTCATTTCCTTTGCACGTCTACTTAATGCACCACCAAAGGTACAGATAATTTATCCTAAATAATTGCTATTAAAAAGTCTGCTGATTAAGTTAAAACACAGACTGAGCTGTGTTAAAAGTGGTGTAGTTGCATGGGAATGGCACAATATGAGAACATCATCTCCACAAAGACACTGACATCTTTCCTCAAGGATCAAGTTCTCTGTTCATAGTTGTCTTCACCCAGAGGATGTTGATGTAGGATCCAGCAAACAAATGACAGTGCAGGATTTTTGCTGTATTCACAATCCTTCAACATTTAGTAACAATGAGCAATGCAGGCATGACATTTGAAGGATTTAAGCAAGGTGTGGTTTATAGGGAGAGGAAAGATTATGTTAGACAAGCTGACTAAATTAGAAGAGAACCTTGGACTGAAAAATAAACAAAGCTTATCAGGTTTTTTCCAACTTGATCAGCTGGTTTAGTAAAAGAATGTGATCTGCTCCCTTGGATTCAATGAGTTCTAGTGGGATAACACTTGTAGCTTAATTATAAAGATTTCTGAAGTGACCTTTCCCCAAAGGAGTATTGATAAGGACTATCTGAACCACAGAGTTGCAAAGGTTTCTCTGATTAATCACAGTCTTACTAACTAAGAAACTGTGTAAATAATTAATATTAAATTCATAAAATACTCCTGAAATTTATTTAACTCTTTCAATTTTACTTTGTTTAGAAGAAGACACACAAATCATCTTCCCATGCAGTATCCACTTTGTGTTCTTTATATTGTCCAGGGCTCACATACAGCTGTGTGGCTTTTAACTCCAGCAATGTACCTTCATCAAACCTTTCACAACTTCATGTACTTTTAATATAATAACTGAAAAAACCCACATATTTTCCACCAGGATGATTCTTTTCCTTTTCTTGTTTCCAGAATTCAGTAGACTTCCTGTCTCTCAGCCTTCAGTACCATTGTGGAAATGGAACAGATTTCTACAAGAAACTGAATGAATTCCAGGTAACATTATGCACAGGGTAAAAATGATAGCAGCAAGCAACAGACCATAAATAGAAGCAGAATTTCCTGTTTCTTGATGCATGTCTAACCAGTTCTGATTCTCTGTGAGAGCTCAGATAACAGCTACACTGGGCAGCAGCTGCAGAGTGCTCACTTACTTCTCTGTTGTTATTCTCACTTAAAACCAGGTGTTTGAAAGTGCTGGAGAGGATCTTCTTGGTCAATGCTTATTATTGGTGCATTAATGACTGGGATGGCAGAATTCTTTTGTCTGGGACTGAAAAACCTCCTCTCTCACATCCTAAGTGCTTGATAAGCTGTTAGGCTAATACCTACACACTGAAAGACACTGTTACACTCCAGCATGGGTTCTGTAATGGTGCTACCAAACTTCCCAGCTCCTCAGCAGTACAGGCAGTGCTAGAAATGGTACTGAGAATGAGTTTGTGAAAGGATTGGAGCACATGGCAGCAGCAATGTCAGTGATGCTCTAGGATGGTCCTGATATTAAACCTATGGTAGTGAACTGTATCCTTAAAATCCATAAGAGTCATCCAGCAACTGAGCAGCAGGATAAGGAGCCATGTAATTCATTCTCTTTGGGGTCCCAGCCTGCTGCAGTTACTCTTAAAATCTGGAGTGGGCCATTTGTGGCTGTACATTCCTGTCAAGTGAGCTTTCAAGAAAAGAACATGGTTCCTTGTATCTTTCCATTGCCAAGTCGAACACTGAACATTTCTGGGGTTTATACTTTGATTTGCAGTGGTTGGTTTTTTCAATCAGAGTAAAACAGTGGGTGGTATTTAATGCTTGCTCTGTTTTACTCATTTAACTTTGAAGAACTTTGTCACTGATTTTCAATCTTCTAGGCATTTCCTAGTCCCTATTAAAAGCAAGAAATGCCAAGAGCATGGTTTTACTAACTGTCTGACACTTCTTCTCATACTAGTCTCTGACTTCTGGTTTTGCAGAATGTCTGGAAGGAGGTAGATATCTTGATTTTTAGTCTAAAGTTCCTCAATTGTGCTTCCATGGAAGAGAATCCTTCCATACTAGTGGCTGCCATTGTCACAGGTAAGTGACATTTCAAGGAGACTCTTTTAGCTGAGCTCTGCATGTCAACTTGTAGAGGAAATTCACAATTGTCCAATCCTGACTGCTGCTATTAGATGAAATAGTTTTATAGTTTTCTTTGTAGCCTTCTTGGAAAATTGAGGGTGGGTGGAGAGTGTTGAGGGAGAAGAAGCAGGAAATCTTCCCCAAGGCTCTTTGTAATTTTCAAAAGGGATGTCAAGCCCTGGCACAGCTGCCCAGGGCAGTGGGGCAGTCACCATCCCTGCAGGGATTTAAAGGACATGTGGATGTGAGACTTAGGGACATGAATTAGTGTTGGGTTGGCAGTGCTGGGTTAAGGGTTAGACTCAGTGATCTTAGAGGTCTTTTCCAACCTAATGATTCTGTGAGTCTATGATCATTTTTAACATGAAATTGTGGCTAATAAAACCTCAGTATATTTGATCTGAGCAAAATAGCTATTAGTTATGAAAAGCACCTTGTTTCTCAAGGTGTAACTGTCTGTACAGTGTCATGCTTTCAGTGGCATCTGAGTTGTGACTGAGTCCATCACTTACCACTTGTTTGCTTTCAGCTATTAATGGAGAAGAAACACGTACGATTGGGTATGATGTTAATGAGTTCTTGGACTCCTTATCTCATGTTTCAAGGTACAGTTTTTGTTCCTTAAATCAGATGCTATAATAAAATTGTGTCCTCTAGAAAACTATGTGCAGCAGAGACAAGGCAGATTTAGTGTGGTAAAGTCTGCTGTTAGTTGCTGAAAGGGCTGGGAAGGGATGTCTTCTTGCTGAGCCCAGTCTCTTCTGATTACAGGCAATCCTCTATCCTGCTACTAATCCTATAATGTAATCCTCTTCCACTCTCTCATCCTTGGTTACCCAAATTGCACTTTCAAGCCAATAGTAACAAGTACATTTCCCAAGCCTTCTGCTCTTTTCAAGAGCAAAATAGTTATAAATAAGCAAATCCAAGAGAGGCTTTCTCAGGGGAGAAGCCAATTGGGCCTACTGAAGCATCAGAGATGTCATTGTGCAGGGAGATGCTCAGGATTACATAAACAGGATTAATTAGTTTTAGCTGATCCTGTGGAAACTCATGAGAGTAGTTGTAGCATACAAAATTGCTACACACTGCAAGGATTTTGTTTGCCCCTTTGACCTAGCTGTAATGAATTTGAGAACCTGCCTGCAAAGCAATGATTAGATATCCAGCAGTTAGCTCACTGCACTCCACCTTCACCTGTGAGTGGGTGGCAGCAGGTTGGACTGATCAGATGACTAAGGAGCTATATCCTAAGTGGCTTATGTGAGCTGAATGGGAAGCAAATGATTCTTTCACCCTGCATGTTTGCAAGTTCTGTGGCACTGGCATCCACCTTGGAGATTTTAACTTCTTTCTTATTCTATTTCCAGCAAAACAAATACTCTACACGAGAGCACAAATGCTCTTCTTGCCCCTCGCTCCTCCTACCAAACAGTTTGGGAAATGTTTGCTAAGCAGTCTGAACTGGAGAGGGATTCTTTTCTGCAAGATGTCTTCCCAAGTGGTTTCCTCTGGGGCACATCCACAGGTGCCTTTAACATTGAAGGAGCCTGGGCAGAGGATGGGAAAGGAGAGAGCATCTGGGATCAGTTTGGGCATGCAGGTCACGTCCACATGAACCAAACAGCAGATGTGGCATGTGACAGCTACTATAAAACCAGCTATGATGTTTACCTGCTTAGGGGTCTTCATCCCCAGCTGTACAAATTTTCTGTATCCTGGCCTAGAATTTTTCCTACTGGCACCAATGAGACCATCAACTCCAAAGGTGTTGATTATTACAACCGATTAATTAACCGGTTGCTAGACTCTAACATTGAGCCCATGGTGACTCTCTTCCACTGGGACCTCCCACAAGCCCTGCAGGTCCTTGGTGGCTGGCAGAATGAAAGCATCATAGATGCTTTTGTAAGCTATGCAGACTTCTGCTTTTCCACTTTTGGGGATCGAGTCAAGTTCTGGATTACATTCCATGAGCCTTGGGTTATCAGCTATGCTGGCTATGGCACCGGAGAGCATCCTCCAGGGATCTCTGACCCAGGAGTAGCATCTTACAAGGTAGGGGCACAGGAATAACTAGGATCCTGTAGCTACTCTTGTTGATGCATTTTCCTCTGATGGTTCTGTACTTTAACAATGGTGAAACCTAGTGTGGCCTCTGAGACAACTATTTACTTGTTTATTTATGATACTTGCAAACAATAGGTTATTTAATGGATGCTAGATCTTTCCCTTCCCCCTTCCCCTTTCCCCTTTCCCCTTT